GGTTCAGGTTCTGGTTCTGGTTCAGGTTCAGGTTCAGGTTCTGGCTCTGGTTCTGGTTCTGGTTCTGGTTCAGGTTCAGGTTCAGGTTCAGGTTCAGGTTCTGGTTCAGGTTCAGGTTCAGGTTCGGGCTCTGGTTCTGGTTCTGGTTCTGGTTCAGGTTCAGGTTCAGGTTCTGGTTCAGGTTCAGGTTCAGGTTCAGGTTCTGGCTCTGGTTCAGGTTCAGGTTCTGGTTCAGGCACTGGTTCAGGTTCAGGTTCAGGTTCTGGCTCTGGTTCAGATTCAGGTTCAGGTTCAGGTTCAGGTTCAGGTTCTGGTTCAGGTTCTGGCTCTGGTTCAGGTTCTGGTTCAGGTTCTGGTTCAGGTTCTGGTTCAGGTTTTGGTTCAGGTTCTGGCTCTGGTTCAGGTTCTGGTTCAGGCTCTGGTTCTGGTTCAGGTTCTGGTTCAAGTTCTGGTTCAGGTTCAGGTTCAGGTTCTGGGTCAGGTTCAGGTTCTGGTTCAGGTTCTGGCTCTGGTTCAGGTTCTGGTTCAGGTTCTGGTTCAGGTTCTGGTTCAGGTTCAGGTTCTGGTTCAGGTTCTGGCTCAGGTTCAGGTTCTGGTTCAGGTTCTGGCTCTGGTTCAGGTTCTGGTTCAGGCTCTGGTTCTGGTTCAGGTTCTGGTTCAGGTTCTGGTTCAGGTTCAGGTTCAGGTTCAGGTTCTGGCTCTGGTTCAGGTTCTGGCTCTGGTTCAGGTTCAGGTTCTGGTTCAGGTTCTGGCTCTGGTTCAGGTTCTGGCTCTGGTTCAGGTTCAGGTTCTGGTTCAGGTTCTGGTTGTGGTTCAGGTTCTGGCTCTGGTTCAGGTTCAGGTTCTGGCTCTGGTTGTGGTTCAGGTTCTGGCTCTGGTTGTGGTTCAGGTTCTGGCTCTGGTTCAGGTTCAGGTTCTGGCTCTGGTTCTTGTTTAGGCTCTGGTTCTGGCTCTGGTTCAGGTTCTGGTTCTGGCTCTGGTTCTGGTTCAGGCTCTGGTTCTGGTTCAGGTTCTGGCTCTGGTTCAGGTTCTGGTTCTGGTTCAGGTTCAGGTTCTGTTTCTGGCTCTGGTTCAGGTTCACGTTCTGGTTCAGGCTCTGGTTCTGGTTCTGATTCTTGTTCAGGTTCTGGTTCAGGTTGTGTTTTTTGTCCTGGTCCTGGTCCTGGTACACAGTCACAGATCCTGGACTTGATGATTTCATGGATCAGGTCTGGACCAGGGAAGTACAGACTTAGGACTCCCAGACAGCCTTGGTTCTTTGAGGTCCGGTTGTGGTTCTGGAGGAACCGACTCAGCTGCTTGTTGACTTTCTTGGCCCGGGTCTTTGGACTCTTGCCAGCAGGAGCAGGGTTCTGGGTCAGGACAAAGTTCTGTCCACAGAACCCGACCAGGATCCTGTGGATCTTCTTCAGTTTGTTGTTCTTCTGGTTTCTGGTTCCGAGGGGAAACCTTTGGTTCTGCAGGAGGACCATCTTACCCCGGACCTGCTTCATCTGTGGTACCGAGTGCTCCCTCCAGAACCGGTCCTGGAACCTTTCCAAGAGCCTGTCCACCAACTGGACCGCTTTATTTTGGTAGGACCCGTGGACCTGGATCCTAAGGAGAACCACCTCGCTCCCATGTTCGTCCAAGAAGTCCAGGATCCTCCTGAGGACGTCCTCTAACTTTAAAGTCCGCTTCAGCATCCCCTTAGAATACGTGAAGTGAACCGGGTTGAATCGGGTCCAGTCCCTGACATAAACGTCCTTCTGGTTCTTGTCCCGGAGCAAAACGTGGATGTCGAAGAACCGAAGACCCACCTGGAGCTGCTGGTCCAGAGTCCAGACCTGACACACGTCCAGGGGTCCTCCGTGCAAGTTCAGGCTCTCATGAGATCCAGGAATGGACACGGCTGAGACCAGAGTCTCATCAGGGATGGACCTCATCCAGTCCAGATGTAGAAGTTCTGGTCCCAGGCCCGGTTTGTCATTGAAACCGTTCCCTGCTCTGGAGACGGAGGTGATCCTGGAAGAGACAAAGACAAGTTCTGGTTGTCTTCAGAGACTGAGGTAGAAAGGTTTGGTCTGGACTTACAGAGACAAAACCAAGAGGGACGCATGGATCTCCATGGAAGGTTCTGTGGTGGACCCGTCTGGTTCTGTGGTGGGCCCGTCCTGTTCTGTGTTGGACCCGTCTGGTTCTGTGGTGGGCCCGTCCTGTTCTGTGGTGGACCCGTCTGGTTCTGCGGTGGACCCGTCTGGTTCTGTCCCACATGTCCTCAGTCAGGACCGAAGAGTAGTGAGGACAGCTGTCCTCCTGAGCTCCAGCAGATAAACCTTCATTTGCATCTTTTTACTCTAATCTGCCAGAACAAATAGAGGAGTCGGCCGGTTCTGACGGGTCATATCTGACCCGTTAGTAAAATATCTCCTCCTGGACTCTCGGGTCACTTCAGTCCATTACTCCAGAACCAAATGCTGGTTCTGGACCGGGTCAGGACCTCAGTTTGTTGCTCCAGAAGTCCAATAAAAATAAAATTAAAAACTTGTTTGATTTTCAAATATCAGATGACTGAACCAGAACCAGAACCAGATGAAAACTGGGTCCAGTTTCTGATCCAGGTCCTCCTCAGCAGAACTCAGTGGTTCTGTATCGGTCTCAGTTCATTCAGGTTCTGCTCCTTAGAGCAGAGATGAAATCCTGAGGCCACCGAACCGGACTCCCTCCGCCCCCTGGCTCCATTCTGAAGGGGTCTGATTGGTAATGAACCAAACTCTTTTACTGCTTTTGAGCCTGAATGACCCGAAACAACTGTCCCACAATCCCAGACTCACGTAGTACCCCCCACAGTGTACCTCGAGGAACACGGTAGAATGCCTTCTCCAAGTTCACAAAACACATGTAGACTGGATTAGCAAACTCCCATGACCCCTCAAGGACCCGTAAAGAGTCGGTCCACTGTTCCACGGCCAGGACAGAACCCACATTGTTCCTCCAGAATCTGAGGTTTGACCATCGATCAGACTCTCTTCTCCAGTACCCCTGAAAAGACCTTACTGCGGTGACTAAGGAGAGTGATGCCCCTGTAATTGGAGCACACCGTCCGGTCCCCCTTTTTAAAGAGAGGAACCACCACCCCAGTCTGCCAATCCAGTGGCACTGCCCCCGATGTCCATGTGATGTTGCAAAGACGTGTCAACCAGGACAGCCCCACAACATCCAGAGCCTTGAGGAAATCAGAGCGGATCCCATCCACCCCTGACGCCCTGCCGCTGTGGAGCCCCTTGACTACCTCAGAGACCAGTTATAGACAGACCGGCCCCAAAGTCCTCAGACTCTGCTTCCTCCATAGAAGACACACCAGTGGGATTAAGAAGGTCAGAGAAGTATTCCTTCCACCTCCCAATGACATCACTGGTTGAGGTCAGCAGCACCCCATCTTCACTGAGCACAGTGTTAGTATAGTTCTGCTTCTCCCACCTCATCTGCTGGATGGTTTGCCACAATCTCCTCGGAGCTGATTGAGAGTCTTTGTCCAAGGCCTCACCGAATTCCTCCCACATCCGAGCTTTTCCCTCAGGAACAACCAGGGTTGCGGCCCGCTTGGCCTGCCGATACTCATCAGCTGTCTTCAGAGTCCTACCAGCCAACAAGGCCAGATAGGAGTCCTTCAGCTTGACAGCCTCCCTTACCCGGGGTGTCCACCACCGAGTTCGAGGATGGCCACCGAAAGAAGCACCGACAACCTTGCAGCCACAGCTCAAGGCAGTTCAATAGTTGAGGCGTGGAACATGGTCCACTCAAACTCAATGTTCCCCACCTCGGCTGGGATGTGGTTGAAGTTCTCCCGGAGATGTGAGTTAAAGATCTGTCTGACGGGTTCCTCTGCCTGGTGTTCCCAGCAAACCCTCACTACACGCTTGGGTCTACCAGGTCTGTCCGGCATCTTCTCCCACCATCTGATCCAACTCACTACCAGGTAGTGGTCAGTTGACAGTTCAGCTCCTCTCTTCACCCAAGTGTCCAAAACATGCAACCACAGATCAGATGACACAAATACAAAGTCAATCATCGATCTGCGACCTAGGGTGTCCTGGTGCCAAGTGCACATATGGACACCCTTATGCCTGAACATGGTGTTCGTGATGGACAATCCGTGACGAGCACAGGAGTCCAACAACAGAACACCTCTTGGGTTCAGATCGGAGAGGCCGTTCCTCCCAATCACGCCTCTCTAGGTCACACTGTTACCCACGTGGGCATTGAAGTCCCCCAGCAGAATAAAGGAATCCCCAGCTGGAGCACCTTCCAGCACCCCCCCCCCCAATGACTCCAAGAAGGCTGGGTACTCTGAACAATCATTTGGTTCATAAGCACAAAGGACAGTAAGAGCCCGTCCCCCCACCCGAAGGCGCAGGGAAGCTACCCTATCTACTGGGGTAAACTCCAACACACAGGTACCAAGTCGGGGGCCAAAACTAGACCCACACCAGCTTGGCGCCTCCCACCATGGGCAACTCCAGAGTAGAATAAAGTCCAGCCCTTCTCGAGGAGATCGTTGAATCATCACCTTATCGTGGTGGAGGAGTTTGTGTCTGAATGATCCTAGGAGCTCTGCTGTCAGCTGGTAGGGTCTCCCATGGCAGATTGGTCCCAGGTGACAGGCCAGACAAAGAATGATTCAACCGATTCTTATGAACAGAAAAAATCAAGGAACTCAGTGTCCCTTGCCCAGATGTGGGTTACCGGGGACCACCCTGGAGCCTGACCTGGGGGAGGGGCTCGTCTGCGAGCACCTGGTGGTCAGGTCTCTACCCATGGGACCTGGCCGTGCTCAGCTCGAATGAGCTACATGGGTTTGCCTTCCTGTGGGCCCACCACCTGCAGGAGGGGGCATATGAGTCAGGTGCATGATACCACGGGCAGTAGCCAAAGGCGGGGACCTTAGTGCTCTGACCCTGGTCTTCCAGAACTGGATCTTAGGTCCTGGAACATCAGCTCTCTGGTGGGGAAGGAYCCTGAGCTTGTGCGTGAGGTTGAGAGGTACCAGCTAGATATAGTTGGGCTCACCTCAACGCACAGCATGGGCTCTGCAACCGATCTCCTCAACAGGGCCTGGACTTTATTCTAAATTTAAATATTAAATCTTAAATCTAAATGTGAAAGGTGAATCTTAAAAGTTTAAATTGAAGTTTTTACTGTGCTAGGCTCTAGTTGTGACATCATCAATCTGAGACAAACGCTAATGGTAACACTGCTAACTCAGCTAACACTGCTAATGCTGCTAATGATGCTAATGATGCTAACAATGCTAATGCTGCTAACCCTGCCAATGATGCTAACACTGCTAATGCTGCTAAAACTGCTAACCTTGCTAATGATGCTAACACTGCTAATGCTGCTTACACTGCTAACGTTTTTCTTGTTTTCTTGTTTTTCTTATTTTTCTTCTTTTATCGATTTATTTGTTTATTGTTTTATTGGTTTACTAGTTTATTTGTTTTATTTGTTTATTGTTTAATTGTTTTATTGGTTTATTTGTTTAAATGGTTTATTGTTTAATTGTTTTATTGGTTTATTTGTTTTATTAGTTTATTGATTTATTTGTTTTATTTGTTATTTGTTTAATTTGTTTATTGTTTAATTGTTTTATTGGTTTATTTGTTTTATTAGTTTATTGATTTATTTGTTTTATTTG